GCCCAGGGGTTTTGAGAAGATTTTTTAATGACCCCACTCTATTTTTTTTCTTTTCTATTATCCCCCCTTGTGGGGGGATTTGGCCCTTCTTTTTACAATTTAAATTTCTCTTCACCCAAGGATGCTTTGTACCAAGTTTGGTAAAATTGGAAGAGTATTTTTGGGGAAAAAGTGAAAATGTGAAAAGTTTACAGACGGACAGACAGCTAGACGACAGACAGACGGACAAAAGTATAGAAAAGCTCCTTGAGCCTTCGGCGCAGGTGAGCTAAAAACCATCCCATTAAAATAAAACCATCCCAATCGAAAATAATGAAAAATTTAAAAAAAATCTTCAAACTAAAGGTACCTGCCACCTATACAACATGTAAAAACAATAAATCAAGTAATTTTTTAATCATATTACAACAAAAGAGCCAAATATAACATTAGTTTATAGTTTTTCTTCTTTATATAATTCCGGTCGGGATCGGTTTCATTTGGGAAAATTAAAAAAAAAAGGTTAATTTGATTCCTTTTATTTCTTTCAATATACCTTTTCCCCACTGTTTTTATTGAGTGATTCAAAAGTTTGTACTTGTATTCATAGTAACAAAAAAAAAAAATCTTTTGTATTGTATTGGGTTTTATAACGTAATGAAATTGGGATATAAATTTAAAAACTTCTTGCTCAACTCAAATTTGGACCATATAATTTTTTTAAAGAAATTAAAGGGGTTTATTATTAATGAAATAAAAAAAAAATTTAAAGCTAAAAATAAAGAAAAAGTGAGCAAGCTACTCCCCACGCTCCCCAAAATAAAGTGCTGAAAATCCCCGGGAAAAAATGAAAAATCCAATTTCCCCGGGAATATGCACATCTACACATTGTGTCCTAAATATCTGCAAAGTTTGATGAAATTCTGTGCTGCGGTTATGAGGAGTTGCGCTGGCAAACTGTTCATCACTATATTCAAGATATCCCCAAAAATCTAAGTTGTAAAGTGCCAAAATTCCAAGAAAAATAAAGGATTCGGAATTCCCTGGTAAAATTCACATCTATACATTGTGTCCTAAATATCTGCCAAGTCTGATGAAATTCTGTGCAGCGGTTTATAAGGGGTCGCACTGACAAAATGTTCATTTCTATATTCAAGGTATGGCCAAAAAAACTAATTTTAAAATCCCAAAATTCCCCGAAAAATAAAGGAATGGGGAAATTTTCCCGGTAATATGCACATCTACACACTGTGTCCTAAATATCTCCAAAGATTACAAATTCTGTGCAGCGGTTTATGGGGGTTTCGCTGACAAAATCTTCATCTCTATATTCAAGGTATGGCCAAAAATTAAGTTGAAAGTGTGAAATTCTGAGAAAAAATAAAGGAATCGGAATTTCCTGGTAATATGCACATCTGCATATTGTGTCCCAAATACCTGCAAAGTTTGCGAAATTCGTGCAGCGGTTTATGAGGAGTTGCGCTGACAAACTGTTCATGTCTCTATAAAAGTATGGCCAAAAACCTAAGTTTTTAGTGCGGAAATTTTAAAAAAAAAGGAATCGGAATTTCCTGATAATATGCACTTCATATTGTGTTAAAATTCAAAGTTTAACGAAAATTTTGTGCAGCGGTTTATGAGGAGTTGCGCTGACAAATGTATAAAAAAATTGGCCCAAAAAACCCAAGTTTTTTTTGGAAAATTCAAGAAAAAATAAAGGAATGGAATTCCTGGTAATATGCACATCTACATATTGTGTCCTAAATATCTGCAAAGTTTAACGAAATTCTGTGCAGCGGTTTATGAGGGGTCGCCTGACAAACTGTACAAAATGTTGGCCAAAAACCTAAGTTTTAGGGGGAAATTCCCCCAAAAAATGAGGAATCGGAATTTCCTGGTAATATCACATTACATATTGTGTCCTAAATATCGAAAGTTTGACGAAATTCTGTGCAGCGGTTTATGAGGAGTTGCGCTGACAAACTGAATAAAAGATATGGCCAAAAACCTAAGTTTTTATGCGGAAAATTTTAAGAAAAAATAGAGGAATGGAATTTCCTGATAATATGCACATCTACATATTGTGTCCTAAATATCTGCAAAGTTTAAGGAAATTCTGTGCAGCGGTTTATGAGGAGTTGCGCTGACAAACTGTATAAAAAGTATGGGCCAAAAACCTAAGTTTTTTGTGTGGAAATTCTAAAAAAAAAAGGAATCGGAATTTCCTGGGAATTGCACTTACTTTGTGTCCTAAATATCTGCAAAGTTTAACGAAATTCTGTGCAGCGGTTTATGAGGGGTCGCACTGACAAACTCTAAGTGCAGAAATTCCCGGAAAAAATAATGGAATCGGAATTTCCTGGTAATATGCCCGTCTACAAATTTATGTCCTAAATACCTGCAAAGTTTGACAAAATTTTGTGCAGCGGTTTATGAGGAGTTGCGCTGACAAACTGTTCATCTCTATATTCAAGGTATGGCCAAATGCCTAAGTTAAAAAGTGCGGAAATTCCCGGAAAAATAATGGAAACGGAATTTCCTGGTAATATGCACATCTACACATTGTGTCCTAAATACCTGCAAAGTTTGACGAAATTCTGTGCAGCGGTTTATGAGGAGTTGCGCTGAAAAAAAAAAAGGACTGACTAACTAACTGACTGACGGGTCAAAAACATTATACCTCACGCAACTAGTTGCGTGGGGTATAATAATATTCATCCACACATCCAGCTTTTGAGTATCTGTCACATATACAGTAAAACAAAATAAAAACGTAGTAATTATTTAACCCTCATGTTGACCTTTTTGCACTTAAAATTAAGCATTTACCAAAAATAGGACTAGAGGAGCACTAAAATTTTTTTTGATGTTGTCATGTGTAAACACTTGATTTAATAAGTCTACATGCAAAAAAAAAAAAAAAAAAAAAAAAAATTAAAACCGTGACATGCGATGTGCCACCCATTGCCTGGTTTTTCAGTGGACTGCCTCTTAAATGATTTAAAAAAATTAACTCCTGTGCAATTTCAGGCCCAGGCGAGTTTTTATGCTAAGACCACACTATTTGAAAAACATGTGGAAAAAAATCAACAATTAAACAGTCCATTTTTGTGCGCAATAAATATATACTTTTTTCAATATAGTTCTAGCTTCCGTCAATATATTAATTTTTTAAGGAACTACAGTTCTACAGATAATCTTTCAACAATATGCAGGCCTGTACGTTTTTGTGTGTTCAATTTTTGTGGTTGGAAGGATTAAAATTTCTTGGTGAAGAATTGTTGTTTTGTAATATATGTAAATAAAATTGTGGTGGACTTGAATTTGTATATCTTTTTATACTTCTTACAAGAAGAAAAAATTAACTTCTCACAAAATTTAATTGCGTTTATTTTTTTGGTGTGCAAGCACACATTCCAGTTTTGGAGTGTTTCTTACTTTTGGTGACCCTGTTCTCAAAATTCTTAAAGACTGGTTGGGGATACCATTAGGCCTAGAAAAAAAATATGTTTGTTTCCGCTTTCCCGACCGACCCTAATTTATAGTGCCGACCCTAAATATTTTTTTAATGCTTTTGTCCCATGATGTGCAAGATTTCAACCAGGGAATTATAGCCTCCAACTTTGCAAGTTTTTAAGACAAAAAAATTTTAGGTCACCTTTCTATTATAAGTTAAGTCACAGTAATGCTTGAAAACACCATTTCTTTTGTCATTAATGTTACAATTCTATACACATTTTGATTAGAGAAGCAAAAAAAATTTTTAAAAAAAAAAAAAAAAATTGCCTACCTACCTACCCTATATTTTTTCAGCCTGAAAGCGGAAACAAACATATTTTTTTCTAGGCCTTACATGTATCTATATATTCAATATACTGATATAGTTACATGTATATCTTAAGTGTGTCAAAAACAAACAAAATGAACAAAAAGCATTTCTAAATTAATTCATTTTTAAATCCAAATACAACAAAGCATAAAGATAACTTTATGTAATGCTATATGAAAATACATGTTTTTCATTTTGAAAAAAAAATTAATTTGGTATAAAATAATGGCTGAGATAGACTATTTGCAAAGAGCTCATTGTATTAACAACTTAATTACAATCTCCAACAAGAGACATTTGGGCCACAACACTACCCAAGTCACATTAAGCCATTTTTGGTCCCACCATAAGTGTGATTTGAATAAAACTAAATCTACACTTGGGGGTGTTCCACTCAAATGTGCAGTTCATCACTGGATTTGCTCTAGAAGAGTTTTAAGATTTTTACTTGTGTAAACTATGTAAATGGACTCATCCTATCCCTTACAAGCATGATCTGAACCTATACTGCCTCAAGGAGCTTTCATCATTACATCTTTCGGGTATGGTGGTTAATTTTTAAAAAAGATTTTTAAAGGTTTCTTATTTCATATAAAACATGATTCATATTGTGGTCCTATGTGACCCCTAGAGGCCATGAAATTTTAACATTACTCTAGGAAGCTTTGACATAATTTTCATCTTTCCTCTTCTAATGGTTCTTAGATTTTTCTTTGTTTTCCCATGTAAAATTAAAAGTGCCCTTCCTACTCCTGGGGACCATGATTTTTTGAACAATTTATAATCTAATTAGCTAAGAAAGATTCCACTTAACCCTTTCTCAGGGCTGGCTTGGCCCTTATTATAAAAATTAGAATCCCATTTCAACTAGGAATCATTTGTACCAAATCTGGAGAAAATTTTAGGTTAAAATTAGCTATCTCAATGTGCCTGAGCAAATTCATAACTAAAATAAACTGGTACTTGAACAGCTGCAAAAATCAAGTACCTGGTATAGACATTTGCTTCATCTTAAACTTAATCCTCCAGCTTTGTGGTATTTTAGTTTTAAAAAAAGTGGAGAGAAACATAATGTTCAAAAAATTATTAACAGACAAATGAACGCTTGACAATTTCAATCAAAATATTTGGCTTAAATTAACTAGCTAAGCTTATATAAATAAGGTAGGTATATTCTTTGGATAAATTAATTCTGCTATGGTAAATTTAATCCTTTAAGAATTAAAAAATTCACACCTTTTCAAAACTACACTGTACTGATTTCAGTATTGTTTAAAAATTCAGTATTTGTTGTAAACATACTAAAAAAAGATAAAAAATAAAAGAAAAAGAATGCATTTTTTATCCTAAATTAATCAGATTGGAAAGAAAATTGTATTGAAAGTCATTGCATGTGTATACTGTATGAAGTATTACAAAATTAACATCACCATTTTGTTTTTAACAATAAAAAGTGATTTGTGTCAGGATTGCAAATTAAAAAAATCAAAGTAAAACATTGATTACAGAATATACACATATATAAATAGACGATAATACACACCCATATAACATCCTGTATCAGCCTGAAATGCCAATATCAGCTAGGGGGCCAAAGGCCCAAGGACTGATATATATTCGTCAAGAGCTGATACAGGATGTGATGTGGAAAAGGGTATGTTTTATTATGTCTATTATGTAAAATCACAAAAAAGTATGAAATGAATATAAAGAAAAACTACAATGTCTAAAACACAGGGTACACAAATTGTGGATAATTACAATAAAAATGTGGATTTCAAATGAAGGTGGTCAGAAAGCAATATCAAACAAGTGCACATTTAAAAAAAATAAAACAAAATGGTTGTAAAGGGTTGTTTTGGAATTTCAATCATGTTATTTATATCAGTAAGGATTTCTTAAAATGTATCAGCGGATTTCTAAAGATCTTTTTTCTCAATGCTGTCTTCTGTCTCACAAGCAAGACAAACAAGGATTTATAGATTTGCTAACAATCACATTTTAACATTTCAAGTTCCACATCTTTCTGATCAATGGCAAACCCATGTAATGCGATGTCACAACGTTCTTTGTCTTGTATGCACAACCCGGTGGTGTACGGCCAGAGTTAAATCCTGCAATAGGTTTCAGTTTGTAACCCAGTTTCTTGATACACAGAGCAACATAAACATCTTCCAAGTGAAAGAAAGGAACATTCTTTGAAGTTTCATAAATCTTTGTAGCCACATTCATACTTGTAACATAGCCTGTCCCAGAGCAAAAACCTGGATAAGTATTCCTTGGATAACTTAACTTTGATGCATACCATTTAGAATTTTTGCTGTCTCTGATTGGTCCAGCAGACATATGACAAGCTCCTCCCACAGCAGTCTGAAGGCTATTCCCGTGAACAGATACCACGTGTTTCACTCCTTCTAAATTGACATACATATCATCATCTGTCTTCATTACAAACTTTGCCTGTTTACACTTAGTGCTTGCCCACTTGAAAGCCATTATGGTCTTGTATGTCAGATTCATATATGCATCAACAAAGTCCTCTTGGAGGATATCATGGAAAATTGCGTTTTCAGCTTCCACTTTTTTCTGGAGATTTTGATCTTTTGTGTTGCCTAGTAGGAATGCGTATCTAATGTCAGATGTGTTGTTTTTGGTTGGAGTTAGCCAGGTTTGACGGAGAGTGTCTCTTGCTTCTCTGTTAGCATGCACGGTCAGAATAAGGACAATTATATCCACATTACTCTTGCCTTCTCCAGAGTCACATATATGTTCATTATCTATGATGTATTTGAAGTTGTGTTCAAAGCAGAATTTACAATCATCAGGTCGTGGGGTTGGCTGTGCTGGCTTAGATTTTGTAGTTACTTTTAAAGTTGTTGGTTTGATAGTGGTTTTTTGAGTCTTAATTGTTTTCTGGGATGTAACCCTTTTGCCTGGGGTTAATCCTGAAATGGTGCTGCCTGATCCAGATTGCATTGCTGTAATTATATAAGAATTGCTCTGACCATCATGTTGCATATCAGAACTACTATTGTAGTTTACAAACTGTTTGAAACCATCTCTAAGTTGCTTGGAAAGCAGGATCAGTGATGTCAAATGATTGTTAGCATTGAGCATGTTAATCAGAACAATAATGGATAGCCCTGCGAGTATGTAAATGCAAGTGCGGATGCTGAACAATCCAGAACAACGCCTTGGCTTTTCCTCAGTCATTATTAATTCTTTAGTCATTGTGGATTCCTTAGTCACTGAATTATTTTGGACCTCTTCTTAGGTATCACAGGCTATCTTACCAAACATCTATAAAGAGAAAGAAACATGTTGTAACCATTGTAACTTATTCAATTTTCTTCACATGACGTACAATAGTAAAGCAATACTTTCATTATGGGGTCATGCACGGGTCATGCAAAACTTCTATGTTTGTCAATTTTTCCATTTGTGCATCATAGTGTCTCCTTAAATGTTGGTATTATTAAATAACAAACTAAGAAACAAACTGGTCAACATTAATTGTTAAGCAGTATCAATATTAGGAAAAGTTTTAAAGATTTTTATTTAAAACCTCCCCTAGAAGGTCATGACAATTTTGGGCAATCTTTCAGTGAAATTAAAACGAAGTTTTTCACTGTAGAATAATATTCTGGAGTATGAAATTTATTGTTCCATGACCTTTGACTTGCACTCATTGAAAGCTGACATCCAGTAGGTTAGGTGATATGTGTGTTCTATTCTATACCAGTTTATCCATAAGAAAGACATGGATAGGACACGAATCTGATATTCTTCCAGTGAAATCACCAGATGACCTTTCGTCATGGGGGTCATGGGCAATCTTTTGTGACCATGAAATGTACCAAGTTTATCCATAAAAGATATGCATCAAACATATTTATGAAAATAAGAGACCTTGAACTTTCCCAAATGACCTTGGGTCAAGGTCATGACACAGCCATGGGTCATGGGCAATCTTAGTGTGGAGTAGTAAATTCTAATGTCCTCTGTAAACAATGGACCAAACGATTGCACAGACAGACGGACGGACGGACAGACGGACAGCTAGACAGACAGAACGGACAAACCCAAATTAATATCCCCCACTTTTCAAGCGGGGGACAAAAAAATCAGAGAGGGCTACATTATTGCAGCTAAAGATGTTATAAACAACAACTGGAATATAAAGATAACCAGGAGTCTCATAATGAAACTGTAGCTCTATGGGTTTGCATTCAAAACAAAGGAAAAGTAGCACTTGTACTTGAAACCATGCAAAAGCAACAGAACACTGCTCATCAAAATCAAAAGCAGATGCACTAAAACTTTTATCTTATATACTATAAAGTCACCTAATGCTCCAAATAAAGTTATATCACAATAAAACAAAAAATGTAAGAGAAGAAGCATTATAAAGGAAATTTAGAGAAATTTCTGTTTTTAGAAACCCCGACAACACTGTTCATCATAACAAAACATAGGTAATCAGAGATTACAGAGCTCACCTCAACGAATGTTGTCTTTAAGTAGTAAGGCAAATTAAGTCACACAATTAACCAACAAAGAGTGTACATCCTGTACATCCAAAAATGCAAAATTTATGCAATTTTGATACTTTGGAATAGACCTATATAAAAACTTAAAACTAGTTCTTCATCATGAAAATGTAATTAAAATCCAGCATCTGAAGCAAGATTGAGAGTTTTCATCCCTTGATGCATCATTTGTGCAACTTTGGTTTATATAAGCCTTATAGTTTCTTGGTGATAGACCTGCACCCATAACTTTTACGAGGTCTATTATCTGAAAAATGTATGTCGAATTCAGCATCTGAAGCAAGTCCATTAGTGTGCATCCTAAGATGTATCATCCATGCAAGTTTGTTCAACATAGAGCTCATAAGTTATATACTTACCTTTTCACTAATCTGGAAAATGTAGGTCAGTCCAGCTTCTGAAGCCAGCCTAGTAGAATGTCCACCCTAGATGTACCATCCATGCAAGTTTGGTCATTATATGTCTCATAGTAGCTTGGAAATGAAACCTGCACCAAAAACTTTAACCTGTTCACGCAACCGGAAAATGTAGGTCAGATTCAGCATCCGAAGCAAGACTGGTAGTATGCACCTTAAGATGTACCATCCATGCAAGTTTGGTCATTATATGTCTCATAGAAACTTGGAAATGAAACCTGCACCAAAAACTTTAACCTGTTCACTCAACCGGAAAATGTAGGTCAGATTCAGCATCAAGCAAGTCTAGTAGAATGCATCCTAAGATGTACCATCCATGCAAGTTTGGTCATTATAGGCTCATTCTCTTCGAAATGAAACCTGCACCAAAAACTTTAACCTGTTCACTCAACCGGAAAATGTAGGTCAGATTCAGCATCCGAAGCAAGTCTGGAGTATGCATCCTAAGATGTACCATCCATGTAAGTTTGGTCAACATAGGGCTTATAGTTACTTGGAAATGAGACCTACACCAAAAACTGCACCAAAAATGTTAACCTGCACCAAAAACATTAACCTGGTCATTCCTTTGCTGAAATTGCAGCATCTGAAACTTTGACTGGTACAATGAAACACATTAGAAACATCTTCCATGCATGTCTAATCAATATAGGACACAGAAGTACTTGAAAAGAAAACTGTTCCAAAAAACTTAACCTTAACCCGGGACGCCGATGCCGACACTGACGCCGATGCCGAGGGTATCACATAAGCTCCCCCCAACTTCGTTGAGGTGAGCTAAAAACGAATGCTCTAAGATATGTATCTTAGTGTAGTCTACTGGTCTTGTGTGGTAAGTTATATTGGAACTGATCAAAACTGTTAAAGGAGTAGCATTAGAAACATCAACAATATTTCTATTTTTAGTAACCATGGTATCACTGCAATCATCAAAAATAAAAATCAATGCACTTAATTATGTGTCTTATAGACAAGTGCAGTCTACTTGTGAGCCAAGTAAAATTAAAATAAGACCAAACCTGGGAGGGGTTAGTGTTTTGAAAAATTGTTTACAGAAAAATGGATAGACAGACAGATGGATGGACACCTTACTAGGGCATTAGCTCTCACCAGTAGAGCTTAAAATTACAAACAGTGGACTGCATATTTCATGTTTATATTATAGATTTTAAAAGTAAGTGAGCATTTAAAAGAAACTTACCTGCATTTATTTTTTTTAAACCTTAACTTAATGTATGCATAATTTGAGATGTACATCAGCATGTAATGCTTCACCGATTGGAAAATCACGTCATTGAAATTGGATCTCAAGAAAAAGAAACTACTTCAAAGTACATATTTTTTACAGTTAGAACATAAAATTTATACTTTAAACAGTTCTTTTAATGTCACTTGTTCAATTTGAATATGATTTAATGTGAATTAAAGCACCATGAGCTGAAATTTCAATGTCAAAATTTTCTGTTGCAAAATTGTTCTTAACAATTTTTAGACACAAGAAAAAGATCATTTTATAAACTTCTGTCATTCATATTTGTAATAAAAAAACTACATGTATTTACACGCTCTGCATGATGCGAAATTACACTATTAAATACAGTATTGGTAAAAAGGTCTTTTAAAATTTCTTTAATCCGAAATATCTGTTTTCAAGGCTTTTTAAAAAAACAATTTTGATATATTACCAAGAAAATGTCAGAATGGGCACCATTATGACATCTGGGAATTCGCAGCGTCCAATTAGAGGGGGAAATCTCAGGTCAGATATTAAAAGTTCACATAAAAATTGGCAAAAACAAGTTTATACTGACATTGCAACTTCTCTTTGTTAACATAACATAACACCTTATATATGTAAGACTCCAAAGTGCAATGGTGACGCCAAAGTCCGATGGTCTCGCCAAACCCGATGGTCTGTGCCAAACCCCGATGGCTCGCTGTCTTTACGGTCACCAAAGTCCGATGGTCAAACCAATGTCCAATGGCTCATTTCCTATGAGACACGTTGCGCTAAAGTGCGATGGTCTGATACGCCAAAGTCCGATGGTGCGAAGGAACAATCAACGTTTATGACGTCACAATAGTCCGACGTCATGACTTTGTCCTGCATTCAAAATCCATTGATATAGTATTTGTCTCGCATACAATTTTACTGATTTTGCTTATTGTTTTCATCCACCAGAGCTATTAGGGTCAGTCCTTGAACACCACTTGACTGATAAGGGTTAGTTCTTGAACACCAATGTGTTTCTGCGAACTCACCCGAGAGATTTTATGGGTAGTCCTCGCACACTATTGGACTGATTTGGGTTCGTCATGCACCCATCCAAGATATCTAGCTTATACTTGTTACACAATTTTCGACTGATAAGTGTTAGTCTCGCACCTACATATCCAAAAGATTAGGCTTAATCTTTGCATTTAATATCTATTGTGTATTTATTTTGAAAAATAGGCCCTTGGCATGGCGCGGCATTGCATTTTTGCGAAGTAGCACTATGACGTCATAAACGTTAATTGTTTCAGCACCATCAGACTCTCGTGTCTCAAACCATCGGGGTTTGGAGCAGACCATCGGACTTTGGCATGACCATCGGACTTTGGAGTCCCATTGCACTTTGGAGTCTTAAGTGATTTTTTAAAGATTATAGTAGTTCTAAAAATGTTTTCATGATAATATCGGTCTGTTCATATGTCGTAAATAACTATGGTGATAACTTACGCTCTCAATTCAGATGTCGTACAGGATTGTATGACAAAATAATATTATAATAATTCGGTCAATATTTAACAGTTACACATTATTCAATTTACATATTTTTCCCTTATATCATGCATATTTAATTCCCAAATGTAAGAGTGTATAAGTACAACGGGTACTACTAAACAGAGTACGCTAAAGTACTTCTGAGTACGCTACAAAAATCATACATTTTAATATAATTAGACTGTTCATTTATGTATAAACAACTTGATTAAGCAGTATTATAAAATAATATTGAAACATTTGTCCCAAATATTTGTTTTTTAGCAATATTTTGACAAGAAAGCAACAACCATGATTCAATGCTTTAAAGATTATTAACACCCCGATCTCGATTATTATTTTGTTTCAGACTTATTAATTTCAACTTAATTTTATTTATCAAAAGTTAAATAACTGCATTACGAAAAACTCAATATTTTTCACATTAAAAATGAAACATTTGAAGTTAAATTAGATCGGGATCGTCCGGATCAAACGATAAACCGTAACCTGAAATCAAAAATTAAAATTACTTCTAAAGTAAAGAACATACCGGGTACACAATTTATTCAAAATATATTTTTATTATGTTAAACTAATATAGAAAGACATAAAAAAGCATTAAAGACGTACAACACACTGGGGGGAGATAACTCTTGCGATTTCAATTGAAGGTTTGATGTGACGTCAAATTTAACGTCAAAATAAAGCGTCAAAATGACGAGTAAAACGATCCCGATGTATTATATCAATCATAAAGAAAAATGGGATATGGGGCTTGGCTGTGATAATGAGTACCATACTCAATCAATAAGTATTTCTTTTAATTAACCCGATTAAACTCCGTAAAAAGCAAGATATAAAATACAATCCCTTCATGTTTATTTCATTTCATATACAATAAACTGTATTCTTGATCAAAGCGCAGCATTTTTTTTTATTCTGAAAATTTTATTTTACATTGCCAAAATTCTCATTATGTACAATATTGGCTATATAACATTCCGATTAATGGTTTTCATTACAAATTGTGCATTTACGATATAGATATTGTTTTTCTTCTTTAATTAAATAAAACAACAAACTTTTTACAATGTAAAATCGATGTTGTTCTCAAACCCTTACTGATCAAAGATGAACAACTCTGAAAATGTAGGAGATGTTTATTTTCCTCCCTTTATTCACGGTTTTCCACAGAATCGGATACATTTACAGCAAGACCTGATAAATCCGAGAATTGAATACTATAGACCTCATATACACAATGTAAGTTTAGAATTGAAAAGAAATGTTCACTACTACTGAAATTATCTGCATTTATGAATATCCTGTTGCAGCAAATCGTTTGACTTTCTGTCACTGTCAACAATGTCGGTTCGCATTTCCTCGAATCAAAACAAAACGTAGCTTATAAGATTTTTAAAAATATCAATATGCGATTTGATATAAGTTGAAATGTTTGATATTTTGAAGTTAATGAGGACGAACACCTAATTTTCATTTTAACTTTAAAAGCAACGACATTGAAAGAATGCGTACAATTATATCATGAGGGGTGTACATCTATGCAAATGTCGATGTATCCCCCACGGCCACATACTGTCTCGTTTGAAATAATGGCATGAAACATGTGAAAGAAACTACAATTATTTCCATTTATACCACAGGAGAGTTGAACATACACTATTTTTTTTATAAATAAAATTAAAGAAATAAAATTAAAAATGAACATATTCAAGTTCAACATAACTTGAATTCGTATCCAGGTTTCATGTGATATGGAATGCATAACGCCTACATGTACATATATATAGGGACTAAACACTAAAATCCTTCAGTATTTTTTTCCTGATACATATAAAAACAGTAGTCAATATTTATTCTGCATTCATGAATTTAAAAACTAATGCATACCTCTGGGATTCAAAATGACGAAATACTAGTATATTTGCACTGTAAACGACGTTCGTAAACGCTCATAGTATCCAACAGCAAAAAATGAAGGGGTGGGGGTGGAGGGGGTATTCAAAAATTGCCTAAAAATCTACATTTACATACGCTTTACATATGAGAACTTTGATATATCTAAGTTAATATATTTTTGAAGCAAAAGCAATATTCCAATTTGATTTTTTTTAAATGTGTATTTGTAGATTCATGGCAAAGTGATCGACCCCCGTCTGAAAGACGCGCGGGAACGTGATTTAATGAGAAAGGGGAGAGGGTAATTTTCCGCTTATTAAATCAAAACTGGTCGTACAAAAATTATACAAAAAATTATGAAGATTATTTTTACTACCAGCTACCTAAAGAGAGTTTTTTACCAAAATTAAACGACAGGGTTTTTCACAAAAAAATTTTGAGTTTGAAAAATATACAATTTTCTAGGCTTAGATAATTCATAGTTTGTCAGTTTAAGGTCTTTAAAAATTGTTATGATGATATGTATATAAGAAAGATTTCTATGTCTTTGTGTTAAATGGTTAAAGGAATAAGTCAATGAAATTTGAACATGGCTTTTTTGAAAATCAAGGTTTAAGTAGTTCACTGATTAAAAATTTTCTCCTTGTAAACAACTAAAGGGGGGTAACTTTTGAAAGTTCCTGTCCAAAAACCACTCGAACGATTTTGTCCAAAATGTGCATACATGCAGTAGATATAGTCATGTACTAAATATACAAAAATAATGAAAATTAAACGACAGGATTTTTTTGGGGCAGGTGTGTTGTACATCCTTAAATTATAAAATTTTATTAGCGTACTCTAAGTAGGCCTACTCTGTCGTAGATCTACTAGCATAACGTACTCTGTTTAGTAGGACCGTTTTACAACGCTTGGGTCTATAGCTATCCGCTCTATCTGTCCGAATTTTCTCAAGCAGAGAGCTTAAAGTTTTGCTGGGTACATTACAATCGATTTACTTGTCAGTCGGCACGCCAGTATGACTATGAGCCTAATTTAACAGAGTATCGATACAGCGCGACATTTTACATGTCAAACGTTATAGGCCTATGTCAACTGAAATCAGTTACTGAAATTCTTTTTTTTATGAAAACAAACTTACCCTCTCGATCATCTCAATGTTGACGTTTGTAAACGTGTCATGATGGTCACGGTGGTCCAATATCCTGCTTCGGCTCATCGGCCTCTGTAAATTACCGATCACGTGATACAAGCAAAAACAAAAGTTAACCGGTTTCCAGTAAAATCGACCCTAAGGTAAGTCGGTCTCAATGTGTCATCTGGAAAAAAAAAGATTCTTCGTCAATGAAAAAAAAAACATAAATAGTTTAAAATTTCTTGTTATCATTTTGATTATAAAGATAAAGAAAAATATATCTGATAAACAGACTGGATTCTTTAAATGTAAGAATTGCTCGGTAATCATGGTAACTCCACGTCCACGTGTAACCCCTGTTTTTCCCAGAATAACAAAGATCAGACAGCCTGGGTTCTTTGAAGACTTTATTTAGATATAAACATTATATAACCCTGTAGCAAAAATATTTAGAAACAGTACATGGTGTATTTATAAACAAACATTTAACATGCCAATCTAAAATCATATCTTTTGTCGTTAGGTGTTCCTGCTCACTCAGTCAATCTATCAATAAAGACTGTGAAATAATACTCTGAATTACGATAAAAATGCAATTATTTAATATGTAATTTAACAAAATAACTTTAGACTGGATTTAAAAGTTTTATTAAACTGACTGCACTCTTACAAAATATACGGTCTCGCCATATACATACGTATTCGAGTGGTAATAATTAAATGAAATAAATGAAAATAAGTACATACACTCCGTAATATTAAAAATAAGAAAATTAATAAAACAACTCTTAAATCCAAACACCCAAACTCTACAAGTTGACTAAATGAAAAATATGAATGAACGTCAAAATTCTGCCTCACCCGGGAACAACCAGCACGGAATCAAGATAACCAACGAGAAATCAAAACCAGTCATCCCAATCGCACCTTCTCTCGGGCCTTTCCGACTAGCGGAAAAACGACCTCGAATGTATATGGAGACGCCATGACAACCCTCCCTTTTTATGATCTTTGAAATAAATGCATATAGAGATCTATTATCTGTGGAATATGGAGTTGAACTTTATTCAATGTCATGATATTACCTAAAATATATTATAGAAGGGACTTCTAACTCCGTCTTTCCTATATTTGAATAAACAGGAAATGTATAAATTTTTAACATCCGATAATGTTTCCCCATTTTCAAAAGGTGAGTTATTTCCCCGAAGGGAACTCTTTTACTGTGTTTAATACGCATGCGCTATAAATAAAGTCACTTCCGTGGTATGTTTTCTGATGTAAACATGTTCATGGTGTATGCCTCTGTCATATGGAAAAATGTTATTGTGTTTGTGAATAAAAAGAAATCTTAACTGATTCGTATTTTTTTTAAATTGCCCACTCATAGTCTCTTTCTGGATTTGTATTAATCTGTGTAGTACTCTAATAAGGTGCTGTGTGACCCCCCCCCCTTACAAAAAAAAGAAACAAATTACTATTAAAATGCTGATACATATTCGAATAGGCCTATTAAAAAAAACACAAACAAAAAAGCTAATTTTCGGTAGTGGATGTTCTGCAGACGGATCATCATTATTTACAAAATGTGCGGAACAAATTTTTAGTTATAAAGTTTTTACGAATTAATCTAGCCTGCTGCAGCCATATTTTCATTGTATCTCTAGGAATTTTTTGAAGACTGATGACATGTCCATCTACAGTTTTACCTCTGAAATTGCTGCATATACAGCAGTAGTTCGTCTTCCGCTACCGATACCAAGAAACTGCGTTTTTGCTCGATTGTATGTCATAACATAGAACTTTTACTTACAAGAACACATTTGGTGACAATTAAAGGCCTATTTCATTTGAATTAACCGTGTTTCTAGAATTTTCTATTTGTAAAATAATTGATTCACAATTTAGTATTAAAACTTTGAATGGAATTCTAAATGAATAATTTAATCTCATGTGCTCATGTAACGAAGAAAGACTTATTAAAATAGCATCGACCTGAATTCGTGTTACATATGTCGTATAAAGTCTGAGCTGCATTTAATCAAAGTTTTAGTGTAGGATCTAAGCATATGTACATGTATATTCCCGAGTAAAATACACATTTTGTTTTAGATCAGAGAATTGAGAGCAGAAACACGAAATTGATACAATAATTTCCTAGCGTATTTCTCGTTAATTAACTGAAAACAATCTTTTCTCAAGTGTTATTTATTTTTTTTAAATCCTTTCAGTGTAAGTACATGTATTTATTTTTATAAGTTATTCTTTTTTTGCAAAGTGTGTAAATAAACAATATCAGAGAGAGAGAGAGAGAGAGAGAGAGAGAGAGAGAGAGAGAGAGAGAGAGACTCCGTGTAACTGACATACATGTACATCTGTGAAAAAATATATGTACCGTAATTTTATTGAATTCACAATTAAAAATTCTAATAATAATATTAATTTTCACAACTTTGGTTCATTTTCAACTGTTCAACCCATTTACATATTCTCTGTACCTGTACGCACGGAGGGGGGGGGGGTGAAGGGTCAAGGGGTTTAGCCCAACCCCCACTTTTTTCCCAATATTACTTTTTCTATTGAAAATGTTCATTGATAGACAGGTTGTCAACCCCACACCCCCCAACCCCCCCCACACACACTCAGTTTATACTACGGTAAAGTTATATAAGGGAAATGTAGTATTGTATGCCAAGGAACTGGTACTGACATAAGTATAAGCTTTTACAACTTTGGGCAAGGTTTTTCTTTGCTTGCCAACTTTTCCAGGTAAGAAAAAAATATTTCTTTGGCTAACCCCCCCCCTTTTAAAGACGATGCTACGTGCCTGGCTTATTCGTATAGCTTTCTAGAAAGGGGGGGCTAACAGACCCTTTATAAAATAATTTATTATCTAAAAAAATGCAAACCGTTTCCTTCTTTTAAAATTTTTAAATGCAGCGTGTAAGTTGATCACTATTTTGTTGGATTATCGTAACATGTAGTCCGCGGAAGTTATGCTAGTGTTGAAGAGTTCCGATTTTGAGGGGAGATAACTCACTTTTGAAAATGGGGATGAGTATGTTTTTCCGACCTCTGACGGAACGATCCGAGATGATGCGATTGCCAGTCATCCATGTCAAAAGATCTAAAAATAGTACCTAATACGAATAACTCAAACACGGACTAATTCGTATTTCTTGAAATAAGTTTATTTTATTGATCACTTATTAAATTGAAATAGATTTAAACATAGTTCACACATAATAATATTTACATACTTTTAGCAAAGTTTTTATCATGAAACACAGGATATGCACAGATCTAGACGGCGCAGCAGCCCTCCTCCCATATGATTGGAATTAGAGGTTCATATTTAATTCATATACTAAACCAAGTAAAAAATGACCTTGGGACCCACCCACCCCCTATAAAACACCGAACCCCTCCTCGAAGACACGGATCTGAAATTGGCACATGTATGAAAATTCATTGGTATGAAGCTTGGGAAATGAGTTTACCTTTTTTCGATTGTCAAGAAATTTCTGGTTTATTTCTAAAGTTATTTTAACACTATTTTGAAAATATTATGTAGGTTAAGGTATTCAATGTATAATGAAGAAATTTTGAACAAATTTGAATGATATTAATTAAACTAGTTAAAAATACATTGCTAGATAACGATAAAAACAACAGACGACGGACAAATTTTAAACAGAAAAGCTCACTTGAGCCTTGGGGTCAGGTGAGCTAATAACATTGTCTCGTCCAGCAAAGAATTCGTCTCATCGTTGTCAACAACAATTTAAAGTTCCTGATGTTATTAATTTTTTAAACAATGAGAACCTATTCGCCATTTGACAAAAACTAATGTTTTATTACTAATTCAGTGCCCAAATGAGCATAAAGAGTACACACTTACAAGAGAAAGGCCTAAAATATAGCCCCGAAAGTCCAAGCTAACCTGGGAATTTTATGAGGCACAGTTTTGGTATTAATTATACTGCCAAAAAGTGATATCACTTATTCGAATAGTTGATATCACCTATTCAACTAGTGATATCATCTATTCGAATAAGTGATATCACCTTTTAGATTTTGAATAGGTGATATCACCTATTCGAATAGGTTAGTACAGTATCATCTATTCAAATAGGTGATATCACACATTTAATTTAAATTTGTGATATCATCTATTGAAAAGGTGATATAACTTATTCGAATAGGTGATATCACTAATTAGAATAGGTGATATCACCCATTCCTTTGGAATAGGTGATATCACTCATTTGAATAAGTGATATATATCACCTATTCAAATTGGGTAGGCTATATAATCTATTCGAATAGGTGATATTACCATGTCATTTTGAATACGTGATATCACTTATTCGAATAGGTGATATCACCCTTTTCAAATTACGAGTATTTATGAAATAACAATGGCTCCCAAAACTATATATACATCCCTAAATCTTACTTACTTTCACTTTCGTTTTACCATTCTAGGAAACAATTGATTATAATATTTCATTTAATTTTAAGCAACCCTAGTAGAAATCGTAGTTTGCTTTCCTCACAGATTCATTTATTTCACTTATCTATCACGTATACTATAAGAAAAATCGTGAAAAACTCATGAAAACTGGGTAGTCCGAATTTTCTTGATGGTTATCTATATATAAAAAGGAGCATTCATTATGTATTGTTGTAAGAAATTCAAATAGGTGATATCACCTATTCGAATTGGTGATATCACCAATTCAAATTGAATAGGTGATATCACTTATTCGATCAGGTGACATCACCTATTCATTTCCAATATGTGATATCTATGGCACGCCAAATTCACAAAAATGAGCAAATCATAGTTTCACAATCGATAAACTAGGTTTATCGGTTGTAAACTATAGTTTACGGACTGTAAACTATAGTTAACAACGTTAATCTATATTTTACATTTAAACTTAGTTAACGCGATAATCTATGTTTCACAACCGCAAACTATACTTAACACCAAAAACTATCATTTGCGATTGCAAAACATAGATTATCTGATAAATACAGTTTCACGATTTGTAAACTATAGTTTACAAACCGTTAACTATAGTTAACGATCTGATAAATACAGTTTCACGATTTG